GCAGAATGGATCAAGACACAACAACCAACAATATGCTGTCTCCAAGAAACCCATCTAACCCAAAAGGAAACTCACAGACTGAAAGTCAAAGGATGGAAAAAAAATACTTCATGCAACAGGAACCAAAATAAAAAGTGAGGGTAGCTATTCTGTTTGCAGACAATATGAACTTCAAACCAATAATGATGAGAAAAGATGAAGAAAGTCACTACATACTTGTTAGGTGAAAACTTCAAGAGGAAGAGAAAACAATCTTAAATATATATACACCAAATTCAAGAACAAACAGTTATACAAAGCAAAAGTTAATAGAAATGAAAAATCAAATAATCAATATCACAATTATAACAGGAGACCTTAACACACCATTGACATGAAGGGTAGATCAACCAGACAGAAAATCAGCAAAGAAATAACAGAACTGAATCATACCTGTGAAGAAATGGACTTGTTATATATATACAGAGTGTTCCATACAGTAAAATCAGAATATACATTATTCTCAGCAGTACATGGGACATTCTGTAAAATAGACTGTATACTAGCCCAAAGAATATATTTAAATAAATGAAAAAGAGTTTAAATTATCCTATGCATGTTATTGGATCATAGCGCATGAAACTAGAAATTAATGATAAAAGAAACTGCAAAATCTCACAAACACATGGAAATTGAATAACACCCTCTTGAGCAATCGGGTCACAGGGAAATTAAAAAAGAAATAAAACAATAAATACAAGCAAATGAAAATACAAATGCAACCTACCAGAATCTGTGGTATGCAATGAAAGCAGTCCTCACAGGAGAACTTATTACACTGAGTTCCCACATCAGGAAAACAGATCAAATACAAATAAATAACCTGATGCTACACCTCAAACATCTAGAAAAAGAAGAGCAAGTCAAATACAAAGCCAAAAGAACAGGGAAAATTACAAAAATCAGAGCAGAAATTAATGTGATAGAGACTAAGAAAACAATCCAAAGAATTAATGAATCAAATAGTTGGTACTTGAAAGCATAAATAAAATTGGTAAGCCCCTAGCCAACCTTATTTAGTAAAGGAAAGAAAAAGCTCAAATTCATGCAGTAAGGAATAAAAAAAGGTGAAATCACTACAGACTTTATAGAAATACAGAAGATCAACAACACCTATTTGAAAAACCTCTACTCTCATACATTCGATAATATAGAAGAAATGGACAGATTCCTAGAAACATATGAAGTACCAAAGCTAAGTCAAGAAAATGTAAAACTGCTAAATAACCCAATTTCTATTAATGAAATTGAAAATGTAATTAAGGCCTTACCTACAATAAGAGCCCAGGCCCATATGGATTCACTGCAGAGTTCTACAGGAAATACAAAGAAAAGTTAATGCCAAAACTCCTCAAACTCTTCAAACTGAAAGGGAAGCAATCCTTCTTAAGTCATTCCTGTTAGCAAGTATCATTCTAGTATGAAAACCTGAAAAAGACCCAACTAAAAAAGAGAACTACAGGCGAATCTCCCTAATGAACACAGATGCAAAAATCCTCAATAAAATATTAGCAAACAGGATGCAGCAAGTCATCAAGGAGATTATACACCATGACCAAGGAGAATTCATCCCAGGCATGCAGGGATGGTTCAACATATGTAAATCAATACATGGAATCCACCATATCAATAAAGCCAAAAATAAGAATCACATGATCATTTCTATAGATGCAGAAAAAGCTTTTGATAAGGTCCAACATTCATTCATGATAATCTTATAGAAAACTGGAATAGATTCTGTTTACCTCAAAATGAAAAAGGCCATCTACGACAAACCAATGGCCAGAATTATATTAAATGGCCAAAAACTGACAGTCTTTACCTTAAAATCAGCCACAAGACATGGATGTCCCTTATCACCACTCCTATTCAATAGAGTACTGGAAATACTAGCCAGAGCAAATAGACAAGAGAGAGAAATAAAAGGGGTAACGATAGGAAAAGAGAAAGTTAAATTATCAGTATTTGCAGATGACATGATACTCTATATAGGAGATATTCAGAACTCAATTGAAAGATTTCTAGATATAATAAATGAATTCATCAATGTAGCTGGATACAAAATCAATCATCAAAAATCAATACCATTCCTATACACTAAAAACAAAATCACTTAGAGAGAAATAAGAGAAACCACATCCTTCACACTAGCTTCCAAACAAATGAAATACTTCCTAGGAATTAATCTCATGAAAGAACTCATAGATCTATACAGGGAAAATTATAATACCCTGAAAAAAGAAATCAAAGAGGATCTCAGAAAATGGAAAGACATCTCTTGCTCATAGATAGGAAGAATAAATATTGTGAAAATGACTATTCTCCCAAAACTCTTATACAGATTCAATGCCATCCCAATAAAAATACCATCAACATATCTCATAGATATAGATAAATCACTCCTAAAATTCATCTGGAACCAGAAGAGACCTAGACTAGCAAAGACAATTCTAAGCAACAAAGGCAAGGCAAGAGGCATCACAATCCCTGACTTGAAGTTATACTACAAAGCAACAGTAGTCAAATCAACTTGGTCCTGGAATCAAAACAGAGCTGAAGATCAATGAAATAGATTAGAAGATGCAACCACAACTACAAACATGCTCAACCACCTTATCTTTTATAAACGGGCCAAACATGTTCACTAGAATGACAGTCTCTTTAATAAATGGTTCTGGAAAAACTGGCTTTTCCATATGCCCAAAGCTAAAACTAGACCCTTGCCTATCACCATATACTAAACTAAAATCTAAATGGATCAAAGATCTCAATATTAAAACAGAAACACTAAATGTGTTGGAAGACAAATTGGGTAAAAACCTTGAAGACAGGGATAGGTAGAGAATTCATGAATAGAAATCGTACTGCATGGGAAATACTTCCCAGAATCAATAACTGGGATCACATCTTATTAAAAAGTTTCTGCACGTCAAAAGAAATCTCCAGCATAGTGAAAAAAACTACAAACTGGTAAAAAGTCTTAGTGTACTGTCCCTCAGACAAAGGAATTATGTCTAAAACATATAAAGAATTTTTAAAAATCAGACACCAAAATTCAAAGATCCAATCCAAAATTGGGCATCTGAGATGAATACACAGTTTTTAGATGAAGAAATACAAATGTCAAATAAATACATGCAAAAATGTTCATCATCATTATGCATTAGAGAAATGCATATTAAAACTACACTGAGATTCCATCTCACTCCTGAAAGAATGGTCAGGATCAAGAAAACTACCAACAACAAATGCTGGAGAGGCTGTGGGGAAGAAGGAACTCTCCTGCACTTTTGGTGGGAGTGAAGGCTGGTGCAACCACTATGGAGATCAGTCTGGGTATTTCTTAAAAACTGGGGATAGGAAGTCCCATTTGGCCCAGCTATTCCACTTCTAGGCATATTCCCAGAAGAACTGAAAACATCATACCACAGTGATATATATATATATATATATATATATATATATATATATATATACCCATGTTTATAGCAGCACAATTTGTAATAGCCAGATTTTGGAAACAACCTAAGTGTCCATCAACTGAAGAATGGATAAAAAAGTTGTTGCATTTTATACAATGGAGTACTACTAAGCTATAAAGAACTATCACATTGAGATATTTATAAATAAATGGATGTAACTTGAGATCATACTAATAAGTGAAATAAATCAAACTCACATGTATAAATATGACATAGTCTCCCTAGTGTAAGACATGGTAAGAATACCTAAAACTATATGGTAATTATGATTCCCCATTATATTGCTTTGAAGCATTATAAAGTTTTCATTCATTAGTTGTAATGGTTTTATTCTGGGTTGTTTGATTTTATTGTCTGTGATGGTATGAACAGCTATTATGAAGAAAACAATACATTATAATAGCCAGTGCTGATTAAATATCATCTCGTTTTGAAGTCCTACCATGCTTTTCTTCTTCTGTCTCCATCAGTTCTATCATGTTGTATTTTATTGGATTTTATTATGTGTGATATTATAAACAAAATTTTTTGGCACCCAGAGATAATATAGTAACCATTGTTCATTTTCTGTTAGTTGGTTCTGAATGCCCTGTAATACTTTCATTCTCTTGAATGGTTTTATACTATTTTGTTATGTTTGATACTATACTGTATGAAGGTATACTCAAATATTTCAAGGAAAGAAAAACTATGGTAGCTACTGTTATGTCAGGTTGTCTTGTGTTAAAACACTATGTTGCTTAAGTTTTTCTGTTCCAGTTTGTTTTGTTATGTCCTCTTTTATCTTGATCTTTTTAAAATAAAAAAAGATGTCCTTTCTAAAGTGAAGGACATATTGCATCTTCTCTCTCTTACAACTAAAAGAAACCTAGTGAGTCCTCTTTAGAGGCAGCATGTTGCTCATTTGGAGGTGTTACTTTTTCCTATTTGGCATGTGATCCAACTTTCTGCAAATTTGAAGGTGGGCTCAGAGCAACAGAAGATTTTTCAACAGCTCCAAGCTACTCCATAAGCTGTGCTGCCTCACAGAACATGATATCCAAGAAATCCCATGGTACTTGAAATGCGCTTTGCAAATAGGAATGCTGTTTCTAGACTTTAACAGACTTCTACAGATGGATCAGTGTACAGATTTAAGATTTGAGAACAAACTTCTGCTCTCATCCATAGACAAGTACTTTCCACTTGAAAAATAGTACCTGGTTTGGTACTGAACCTCAATAGGAACTGAATACTTGATGATGGGTTACCAAATTATGGATGATCTTAATTTCGCACTAGTACAACTAGGTGTTATTTGACCCACTAATCCACAAAGTTAGATGGTCACATTCATTACAAAATGGCAGTGATATACATACATAATCTGGCTCAAACAGGTCCTCAAGGGTGTGAATAAGTTGCATTAAGAAGTGGTGCAAATTGTCTTTCTTCCTACTTCTGCGGCAATACAGTCACCTAAGTATATCCTATTATTAGCTTAGAGAGGAAGAGAAGAGTCTGGGCTACTTTATGAATGGTTCTGAATGAAGATGTGCACCAATCAAGGTGGACAGCTGAAGCATTGCAGCCCCTTCATTGGGACATTCCTGAAGGATACAGTGAAGGTAACTCTTCCCAGTCATTAGAACTTTGAGCACTTTGTTTAGCTATTCAGTTTACTTGGAAGAAAAATGCCTGTGTGTGTGATTATATACCACTTAATTGGCTTTAGCCAATGATCTTGCTGAAAGTTCAGGGACTTTGAAGATAAATAATGGAGAAATTTCTGTCAAAGAAATGTAGAGAAAAGATATGTGGATAAACCTATGCGAATTGGCAAAGAATGTTCCATGAGAAAACTCAAAAAAAGGGTAGTTTCGGCAGAGGAAGACATTAATACTAAAGGAAACAAGATGATCCATTCTGTGAACAAAAGTTAGCTTCTTTTCTCAGTCAGCCCTGTCATCACTCAAAGGGCTCATGAACAGAGTTTCCACATTGCCAACTCCTAAACACTGGCATAGAGAGACTTTGCCTAAAGAAGAAGGCCACAAAACAGATCCTAATCTTTTACTAAAACAACTTACTTCATTTGCAACACAGCATAGAGACATTAAAACATAAAGATGCCCTCAAAACAATGAAAGTTGTGGTAAAGGGCAATTTGGAGAATAATTATGGAGCAAATGAATCTCTATCCTTGACAGTAAGCTAGCTAGCTTACAGGAGAGACCCAGGTAATATAACAGCTTGAAAGAATGTCACTGGCATCAGAAAAAATATAAACACTAATCCGAGAAATCATTTCATAAAAAAGAGCTACAATTTTTTTATTTTAAAGATAGATATTTTAAAGATATTTTAAAGATATTTATTTTAAATACAGCAAAACAAGACAGAATAAAGCCAATCAAAACAAAGCAGTGAAATTAGTACAGAACTTCAGAGCAACGTCCCAGGATAATACTAATAGGTACCATAGTGTATCTTGTTATCTTCACAATAGTTGTCCATTCAATCAGGTATAGCAAAAACAGAACACTATAAAACTGATCAAAACAGAATATTGAATAGGGCAAAACAATTAATCAGAACAAAGCAAAACAGTGAAAAACATATTGGCCATCAAAGACAAAATAGAAGAAAATCCCCCATATTTGCTGTACTGTATACTGTCATCCTCCCAAGAGATGCCCAGCCCTCTGGCCCCAATCTGGCAGCATAATCAACCAAACAACACAAGCATTTAGTTGCTTTATGTACCTTAGTTGCTGTCAACTCAGGCTGACCTCAAAATCATCCAGTTGCTAACAGGGGAAGGTGTGTCATGGGACATTTGATTCTCAGCCTGTGTGCCAGTAGGCTCACCACTGTAGACACTGACTCATTCTGTCCCTGGTATGCTCATGCCTCATGCCACTTATCAGAAAGGCTAGATTGTTGCTTTCTTGGTTTATTCCCCAAGTTCTAGCATGGCTGATTCTTAGGAGACACTGACTTGTTCTCTCCCTGGCATGCCCATGACTCACTCACACAGCCTACCAGAAAGGATGGCTCATTGCTTTCTTGGTTGGTCCCCAAAGTTCCAGCATGGCTGGTTCTTGGGAGCCACTGACTTATTCTTTCTCTAAGAGGCACAATTTAATGGATTTGTTTGTAGAAAAATATATGCCCCATGGCATGGTTGAAAACATAAAGATAATGTCAATGGCTAATAGAGTCAAGCAACAGGGAAGAGAGGGTGAGAGCTGTAACAGTACCACTATCATCTCAGAGTGAAAGTAGACACACTCAAAGTTGCATCTACTGAAAAACCAATATCAGAGGTTCCTTTTTACAGGAATGGAGGATAGACTTCATTAAAGTAATCCAGACTCTCAATAAATAGTTAATAGCAAAAATAAACCCAGGGGAGTGAGACAACTGGTATGCATATTTGTAATATATTATCTAAAATGTCCAGTTTCCAACAAAAATAAGATATATATAAAGGAACGGGAAAGTATGACTCAAGTACCAGTAAACAGAAGTCAATAAAAGCTACTTATGGCAAAACAAACTTTTGAATTTAACAAAAAAAGATTTAATTGTAGCTTTTTTTTTCTGGGTTGAATTGTGCACACCCCCAAATTCATATGTTGAAGTCTTAATTTTCAATAACATAGCATGTGGGTTTCTTTAGATATGGTTTCATTTCAGATTAATTTAGTTACATTAAGATAGCTTCATAATGATTTAGGTGTGCCTTTATGTTAAAGGAAATTTGGACAGACAGGCTTATAGTGAGAATGCCATGTGAAGAATGGAAATATGTAACAGTAATTTAAGTAAATATGATAATTCCCATGTTTTAAAAATTCAATTGCAAAGAAAAGAGTAAGAAAAATTATTGAAGAAATCAACATACAACTTTTTGAGAATTAAAATGTAGTGTTTTGATGGAATAAGGAGAATTAGAATTTTTGATGACCTAGTAATCTCTAAATGTCTAGGAACCTTCAATTTCCCCTTTCTGTCTTACTCACACTTGTCTCATGATACACTTCAAATTTTGTCTTGAAGATTTTAGGGATAATCATGTTTAAGCTGATGATATGATTATTTCAAGACTGTAGCTACCTCTCAGAATTTCCCTTAGTATCTAGTCTTTTCTTGTTTTAGTCAAATAATCTGAATATGAAGATGCAAAACTTTAAGGGTTTGATTCACTACTGATCTGTATTTATTCTCTTTAAAGTTAATTCTAATAATTTTGTTTTGAAGTATAATAATGCTTTTATTCTTGATTTTGATTGGTTTTAGTCTATTTTTAATTATTTGATTTCAATATATGTGAAAGTATGAAAAGCTAGTTTGAAGAAAACAAGAGACAATGTGATAGCCATTATTGATTTCTATTGTCTGTTTTTGAAGATGCTTAAGGCTCTCATTATTTCATTTTGATTGCTTTCATAATACTTTGTTTTGTATTAACTTATTGTGTGTGAAGGTATGGACAACTATTTCGAAGAAAACAAGAGACATTGTGGTAGCCACTGTTGATTTCCTGTTGTCTTGTCTTGAAATCTTGTATTATTTGTGTTGTTTTACTCTGATCTGATTTGTTTTGTTTTGTTTTTATTGTTTTTTAAATAAAAAACAAAAATGAAAAAATAAAAATTCTAAAAGAAGTGTTCTAGTACAGAAAGGAAAACTCAAAGAAAAAACTGTCAGAATTCTACTGATGATTACTTGGCCCTCACAAAATTTCCACAAAAGATGTGATTTCAGAGCTGTGCATTTTTTTAAGGTTGACTTTTCTGAACATATTGCTAAGAGAGAAATGGAAGTGCAAGTAGCCTAAATTGATGTCCCTGGGTATCTGTCAAAATACGCATCAACAGAGCACAATAATCAAATAGCTAAGCCACCAACAGATAATAGTGTATATTCTGTGCTTGATTTGCCCACCACTGTGTTGCTCTGTTCTTTGTGGTTACTGGGACTTTTTCAAAATTTGCAATTGTTTTCACTCAGTGGACATGGCCAGATGTTTCAGACTCATTTACAGTGTGTTTTTTTTTTTTTTTTTTTTTTTTTTTGTCAGATTTGGGAAAAGTTGAAGTGGATTTTATAATAGAATGTGATGCCTGTCCTTGTGACATATTCCTGCAATCCCAGGACTCAAGAGACTAAGGCAGTAGAATCACTGTGCATTTGAGTCCAGCCTGGGCTACATAGTGAATTCAAGGCCACCCTGAACTGCAGAGAAACACCCTGTCTCAAAACAACAAACAAATGGAATCTGATGATTGCTCTTAGGAAGAAATGTTCTTTGTGAATGCAAACTGGATGAATTCTGTTCCATAATAAAAAGATTAGGGAAGAGAGAAGTCCATTGGAAACTACCTGAGGCTACTTATGAAAGACTTTACCTACATATGTTACTCTTCTTTTTTACTCTCAGATACAAATTGTAATAATTTGCTTAATCATATTTATAACCAAGTTGCAGGCAAACTCTCTACCTAAAATGTATGGATAATAAGTAACACATTTATAATTTCTTTCTTTCCTTTCTTTCTTTTTTTTTAGACACAGTCTTGCTCTGTAAATCAGGCTGGGCTTGAACTCACTATATAGTACAGATTAGAGGATATTTAATCTGCATGTCAGTTGACTGTTATGGGATTGTTCCCAAAGACAACCGCACTGAGTTTACAGAAAATTTAGTTTACGTAGTATTTAGAAATGGGAAGGAAAAAGCAACTGACAAAACATTACATAGTTGGTTACATGCATTTAATCATTTATTGACAGGCATGCTAGTATTGAAGTTTCTCCTCCTCCTCCTTCTTCTTTCTTCCTTCATTTTTCTTCTTTCTTTCTTTCTTTCTCTTTCTTTCTTTCTTTCTTTCTTTCTTTCTTTCTCTTCTTCTTCTCCTTCTTCTTCTTCTTCTTCTTCTTCTTCCTCTTCTTCGTCTTCTGTTTTTTCTGAGACAGAATTTCACTATGCATTTTAGGCTGGCCTTGAGTGCTTTTTGTAGCCCAGGCTGGCCTTGAACTCGAATCAGTCCTCCTACATCAGCATCCCAAGTATTGAGATTACAGACATACATCATTATGCCAGGCTTTAGTCTTGATTTCTTAAAACAAGTTACATCCAGTCCTACAATTTCATCTGACTAATGCATTTTTCCAAATATGCAGACTTCAACAAATTCATTTGTGATTTTTGACTCAACAACAGTGTAAAATTACAACCCTTTGCAACACCTGTCATAGTAGTAAGCACAACATCATCTTTCTTTTGCGGATAACTTACTATTTTCCTTTAGCTATCCTCAATGCTTTCATTTATCATCCTTCATTTGTAATATTAGGTGCTAGATTTTCACCAAGGTACTATATATCACATTGCCTTTCATGTATTTATAATTTTAAATACTCTTCTCTGTCCAGAAAATTGTTACTATTTCCTTTAAAACTCAACCCATATCTCTAAATCTTTTAAAATTCATCACATAGCAACAAAATTTATAGTGATATAGTAGCTAAGCATGGTTGTACATGCCTGTAATTTCAATTAATTAGGAGGCTGATTCAGGGAGAACACAAATTCAGGGCTACCCTGGGCAATGCAGCAAGACCATATCTCAAATGAAAGAACTATAATTCTGTAGCCATCTGAATGTTATTTGTCTCCATTCTCCACTACAATTATTATCTTCTTCTTGCAATCAGAATTCTTAACTATTTTTACATCCATCCTCTAGTCTGTTGCCTGACACACAGCTAGCACTAAGTAAATGCTTTTGAATTAGTTAATCAGTGAGCCAGGAATTGGCCTCAATTATGTCCTTCTCAAATTTTTTTCTAATTTCTTTGCCTATCATCCTATCTCTCATCTCACTGATACAAAAATGTTCAAAGTTGAACACTATATCTTCTGTATATCAGTGGAAATTTGACTACACGTCTAGTTTATTCCTGTTATTTTGACATAATACATAACAATTAGTTAACATTCTTTTCATTCTCAATAGTATCCTAGCTTGAACTGTAATTCAGATGTTTACTTTCTATAGAACTATGTGTTAGCATATTATAGAGTCACTTTTAGCAATTATTCTAGCAATTACTGATTTGGTTTGGTTTTTACTGTTTTTTGAGTTATTTGAGGACAAGCTCAGTTCCAGTTTTTTTTTTTTTTTTTCGTAACTTTGAGGCTTAATGCAGTGTCTAGCATTTATTGCATATTATTTTGAATAAAAAGACATTTGTATTGTTTTGTCCTAAGAAGTTTACACTGTAAAATAAAACCATACAAAAAAAACTATGACACCTAAACATCTACATGAGTTTTCAGATAGACAATCAACATTTACCATAAGACTTTGGAAAAGTGAATTTAAGTCATTTAATTTTCTTCTACCTGAAGTTATTAAAGTGCAATAATAACTAATAATTTCAATAAGGGCTTCTTAAATTTGTTATTGTATTTTTTCATGAACATGCAAAAATATTCTCACCAACATTAATGAGTTTTTGTTTTGTTTCTATAATGCTGGGTCTTAAACCTAGGTGTTCATCTATGCTAGTTACATGTTTTACTACTGAGATAGAACTAAATTTGATAGTAGAGAAACAGAAAAACATTCTTCTATCCACTAGCTACACAATAAAACAAGTGCTTCTTATTTTCCAAGAAAATGCACATAATGCCATATAAGTAATTGTTTTCAAATTACTTTTGAGCTTTGAAGAAATACAAGGGGAAAAAACCTTAATGTCCTTTGTAGATTAGAAATTATTTTAAAGAGAATAAAATGTAATAAAAGTTGTAAATATGGAACCTGTGGGGGAAATGGGCTTTAAAATTCAAATAACAAAGATGAATGAAAAAGTAAAAGTGAGATGGATTTTTATATATTAGCTAATTTCATTAGGGGAATTTAAAAGTCAGAGGTATTAGAATAGCCAAGCGTGCTGGCATATACATGTAATCTCTGCTACTTAGGAAACTAAGGCATGGGGACTGCAAGTTCAAGGCCAGCCTGGATAATTTAAAGAGATTCTGTTTCAAACAGTTTTAAATACTAGTGGTAGAGTCGTTGCCTGGAGTGGGTGAGATCCTAGGTTCAAATTTCAGCACCAAAAAAAAAAAAAAAAGTGGCAGTCTTTTGAGAGACCTTTGATTTACATGTTGAACGAATTTCCTGTCTATTCTCAGCTGTCTTAGACGAATATATTTTCGTTGTGACTCTTAAGTAAACAAGCAGTTAACCATTATATCAACTGAACTTTTGATTGTTTTAATTCTTGTTTGTACAAAAGGGGTTGAAATATAACTGGATGAGATATAATTGGAAATCTCTGGTATTCTGATTCTATGGGTAACCTAGTTTCATGTTTAGTGGACACAGTTGATGTCTGAATAGCATTTCAGTTCTCACAGGTCAACAGCTGTGACAGCTAGGTGTCTTTCTCTAAAAAAAAGTTACTGATGTCTGCTACCCACTTTATATATGTTGAGAACGCACTATGTTATGTTCACTATTCTGAATATATTTTTACTTATTTAATTGTAAGGACACTTACCCTGTAAGGTAGTCTGTAAGGTATTTGCACTAGTGTCAATGAGTTTTTTGTTTTATTTTTGTAGTGCTGGATATTGAACCAGAATTCTCATTCCTATTTGATAAAACTGAGACTCAAAAAGAAGAAAACAGGTTAGAATTGAAACTTGACAATACAAATAAGGTAGGTGAGGAGTTTAGAGATAAAATTCCACCTAATTATCTTCTGTAATTAATATTTTTAAAAACTTACTGATTTATCATGAAAGCTGGGTTGATTTTCTTCTTGTTTTTAAGCCTTGCTATCCTCCACGCTTGTCCCTTGCACTCCTGGACTCAAGTGATCCTCCTGCCTCAACCTCCTGAGTAGTTGGGAATAAAGTTGTGCACAACAGTGCCCAGGTGATTTTCTCCCTTTTTTTTTCAATTGAAATAAATAGACTGTAGATTGACTTAGGTGTGTGTACATACATCCTTTTCGACATCTGGAACATAACTATCTGTTACATCACAGCCTCCTTCAATTGACTGCAGGCAATTTTAATGGTTTTACAATTTGCTTAGAAGACAGGGCTCCTCATATTTACAGACTAATAATAGAGGAGATATCTTATTCGCAGTTAACTTCCAGCAGTGGCAAGAATCTGGTAAGGGATCTAGAAATACTTCCCTGGCAGAAAGGAAGAAAGAGAGTCTCCCCCACCGAGGACACACACACACACACACACACACACACACACACACACACACACACAATCTTTTTAAAAACATGATTTCTCTTCCTCAAAGTTGTAGAGATAATGATAAATTTAGCTGTGACCTCGTGTATGTGCATATGAGGTGCACCATTATTGCCACCATTGAATTTTATGTGTAGAATTATTAGAATTAAGTAATCTATATTTTTAAATGTAAGGTAAGTATAGTCATTATAAGAAGTGAAATGAAAGTCCAGAGATATTGTATTTATTAGGAGAAAATGTTTGTGTTCTAAAATTTTTCTCCAGAAGTCGACTAAAGATGATTATGGCATGTATGTTTATTTGTAGGGATTTGTAACATCTGAATATACCAAACCAAACAGGAAAACTCTTATACCATTGCTACCACAACTTTTTACCACAGAAGAGTACCACTGCACATAAATTCCAAGAAGAGTATAAAAGAAAATAAAAAGAGTTGATTAGACCTGAGACTACCTACTGAACGAGATGACTGCCACAGCTGCAGTGGAGACACCAAAAATGGAAAAAAGTGCCTCCAAGGAAGAGAAGCAGCAGCCTAAGCAGGACAGCATAGAGCAGGGAAATGCTGATTCTGAAGAGTGGATGAGCTCTGAGAGTGACCCTGAACAGATAAGCCTGAAGAAAAACAGCAGTATCTGCCAACCTGGAGATAGTCAGTTGAAGAAGGAGATGCCTTCCAAGATACACCGTCAGCTATGTCGATCACCCTGCCTGGATTGTCCAAGTTTCTCCCAAAGCAGTATTTTACAAGATAGTAAGCTTGACTTAGAGAAAGAATACCAAGCCAAGATGGAGTTTGCTCTAAAGTTGGGCTATTCTGAGGAACAAATTCAATCAGTACTGAAAAAGCTGGGCCCAGAATCACTTATTAATGATATATTGGCAGAACTTGTCAGACTTGGGAACAAAGGTGACTCAGAAGGGCAGGTCAACTTAAGTCTGTTAGTGCCACGTGGACCCAGCTCCAAAGAAAGTGTAAGCCTCGAATTATCTCTTGAAGATGAAATAGACAACAGTGACAATTTGAGGCCAATTGTCATTGATGGAAGTAATGTAGCAATGAGGTAAGTAAAACTTGTATTTTTTAATCTTTAAAAAATTTTATTGGAGTCATAGAAATTGTCTTCCTTTGCAAAGCATTATAGGAAGAACTTAGTTGTGTAAGTCTTGCATTCCTTTAAATAAACAGATGCTATAATGAACCTGCCCTTGTCTTTTCTCTCTTGTTTAAATGACTGTCAATTTTTTTCAGTTGTTAGAAAGCCTAGACATCAGTAATGATTCAAAGATGATACAATCAATTAGCTCTTATAGTCTGTTATCTCATCCTTATATGTTCAGACAATTTGTCCTGAAAGTAATGTTTTCAGAATATCATTTGGAGGCTTATTTAGGAACTTTCAGTGACTCCCAGATGTTGTTCTAGCACATTTGAATGCCTTTGTCTTTAAGGCACTTTATGGTTTGGTCTTTCTTCCTTTCATTTGAACATATTTTTAGCCTTTATGTAATTCTTTTTAATTTTCCCCATGTAATTTATTCTAATTTATACATCCACTACCTTTGTTCTTATCATTTGCCAGTTTAGAAGTGACTTCTTCCTTATTTTCATACCCTTCAAAGTACAGCAGCTCCACAAAGGCCATCTTATTTTTTCTGAGTCTGATGATGTTTTCAAGCTATAGTTCCTGTGGAAGGGTGAATAATAATCCTTAAACATGCCCCTATCCTGGTCCCTAGAACCTGTGAATGTGTTATTTTACATGACAAAGGGGACTTTGCAAATGTGTTTAAATTAAAGATCAAAGAGATTATCCTGGATTATCAAAGTGGGTCAAATATAATCACAAAAGTCCTTATTGGAGGAAAGCAAGAGGATCATAATAAGAAATAGGAAATGCGATTGTAGAAACAAGAAGCTAAAGTATGAAAGGGTTCATTGAATCAAGAAATGTAGGTGATCGTTATGAGTGGAAAAAAGCTAGAAAACAGATTCGGTTCTGAAAGGTACAAAAGGAATGTGACCTTATTAATACGTTGATTTTAGACATTTTTAAAGGAATCACTCACTTTTATTTACTAAAAATTTAAAGTTTACACATATTTAAAAATTCACTATATAAGTCTCTGAAAAAAATCTGATTTAGATTTGTGATCTTCTGAACTGTAAGAATAAAGTGCTATTTTTTGTCTTTTTCCTTTTTATTGGTACTAGGGATTGAACCCATGACTGCCTGCTTGCAAGGCAGGTGCTTATGCCGCTGAGCTAAACCCCCAGCCCCTAAAGTGCTATTATTTAAAGTCACTGAACCAACTGTTAAATTCATTGATTTTTTGTATTGGTTTTTAGTCTGAATTTCATTAATTTTGATCTGATTTTTATAGTTTCCTTTCTCACATTTGCTATGAAGTTGAGTTGTTCTTGTTTTTCTAGGACCTTATGGTACATTATTAGGTTATTCATATCAGCTCATTCTGTTTTTCTGGTATAGTGATTTACTGCTATGAACTTCCGTTTTATGATTGCTTTCATTGCAACTCATAAGTTTTGGTATGTAATGCTGCCTAGTTTCTTCTTTACTTTCATCTGTGACACACTGATGATTCAAGAGGGTATTGCTTAATTTCCATGTGTTTACATAGCTGATGTTTCTTTTCCACTGATTTATAACTTCAGTGCAGTATGTAGTCTTTGACAATTTTTATAATGCTGGTTTGGTGCTCGTGAATTTCTTGATAGTATCCTCCTCATGGAAGTATCTTATTTCTCCACCAATTTTAAAGAAATATTTTACAGGACATTTAAGTCAGAGTTGCAAGTTGTTCTCTTTTGGGGGGTTATTTTTTTGAAACAGAGTTTCACTAAGTAGTCAGGCTAGTCTTGAACTCACTATGTAGCCCAGGATGGCCTCAAATTCATGATGATTCGCTTGCCTCCAAAATGCTAGAATTATAGGCAGCACCACGATGTCTGGTGAAAGCTGTTATTGTTAAGGGCTCAAAACATTTCTTTCCAAGACTTTAAGCTTTGTATATAGAAGTCTGCTATGATTCTAATGGATTTGCCTTTGTATGTGATTTCTGGCTCTTCTCTAACAGCATTTACAGTCTTTTTCCTTTGAAGTGCTTCTAGAATTTTGAATTAATATGAAGTGGAGATCATGACTATTTGGTGCTACATATGCCTCAATTATCTGTATGTGTCTTTCACTGTTTGGGGGAGCTTTTGTCATTATTTTTGTGAACAGCTTTTTTATGCCATTTGTGTTGTGTTCTGATCTTCACATACTTTATTTATTCTTAGATTAGTCTTCTTTGCCTCACTTGGAGCTATTTGGTCAGATTTTTCATTTTCTCTGGTTTTTAAGATGTCTTTAAGCAGTTGGTCTTTGAAGGTTCTATTGCCTTTCGGTTCTGAAATTCTACCCTCACATTAGTCTGTCCTGTTGGCCATATTTTCAATATGATTTTTCATTTCCTAAATTTCTAGATTGAAAAATTTTTATGGACTAGAGTTCTTTGGTAAACTGATCATTCACATGTTGTATCACTTTGCTTACCTCACCTGGCTTTCTATTAGTGTCTTCTGAGAACTTCTGCATCTTTCTGATTATTACTTCCATTATATGTTTAGTTACATCTCCTCTAATCCTTCTTAGTATCTCTTTGATTTGTTTTGTAATGTCTTCTGCTATGCTTTTGAGAATTCACTTGTGTGGCTTATAGTATTCTGCCCCTTGGTGCTCCTGAATTGGCTTTTGGCAAATTGAGGGTTCACTGAAGCATTTTGTTGCCTCTTGCTCCACGTTTCTATTATGTTTGTTTGTTGGTGGTAGACAGACCTCTTTAGTTGATATTATGGATTATGTGTAGATGTTCTCCCTTCCCAAAGCCTCATGTGCTCATAAGTGGTGATTCTCAGAACTGACTGTGACTAGGATGTGTATTCCTGGAATTAAGGACACGTGGTACTAAATTCATCCACAGATTGCAATTGTCACGATTCTGGGTGGGAACATCAAAAGACTGATAGCCTGGAAGCAATAAAAGGGAAGAACAATCTGGCAGCTTGCTGCTTTGTGTCTTCTACCTGCCACGATATGAGCCGTGTCTCCTCTGTGATGCCCATCTGCCATGCCATTCTGCCTTTGAGCCAGCTGAATATGGACTGAAACTTCTATAAAGTATTAGCTGAAATAAACCTTTTCTCTTTTATCTCAACACTGAGAAAAGTAAGATAGTTGCTTTTCAGTGATATACTTTGGAAATGACTGACTAAAAACTTTTGCCACAGTTCTATGACATGAGAAGAAGACTGAGAGAAGTAAATGTGTCTTATTGAGGAGTAGAAGGACATCTATAGAATTAAGAAAGGTAGGAAAAAAACTGGCAAAATACAGATGATAAAAGAAAAAGTTATGCAAAGAGTAAAAATAAGAGAAATAACTAGGAAAAAAATTACAGAAAGAAGAGGAAAAATATGGAAATAAAAGAAGCAAAAGAGATTCAAAGCAAAACTAAAGGACAAAGGAAGATAGACCCAAGCCCTAGGAAACTAGTAAAGAAGACAGGAGGAAAGGAAAGAAGAAACAATGCAAAACAAAAAGAACTAAACAAAACTAAAAACAATGTTCACATTCCTGAAAACAAAAACACAGTAAAATAAAAAAAATTAATTTTAGAAAGAAGAAAAAAAGATTTCAATCCCATGGTTCCATGGTCTACAGTTTTGTGGAGCAACTCAAAGCATAATCCTACTCTCACTGGTAAAGAAAGGAGGCAGCCAAGGCCCAGATACATGCTGGATAATTACCAGAAAGCTGGCAGAAGAAGTAGGGCTGAGAGCCAGTGGATCTTTTCAGTGGTGGCTGGATCTAGAGTGTGCGAGGCCGGGATTGCATGGTGCTGAGATTAGTGGTGTATGATGACTACATTAGTCCACTGATTGATTTGGAATAGTTACAGATGTGGATAATGGGAAGGTCCCTTGGGGTATGAATACTATCCATCCTAAAGGCATGTAGCTTCAATAGAATGTAACAGACAGCTACGATCATTGTTTCCTGCTTGCTACTTTGATGCTTTGCTGCCTTCTGCCTGCCATGAACTGTTTGCCCTCTGCAATGTCCCTCTGCCATGCCACCCTGCCTTAGAGCCAACTGATTCTGGGTAGAAACATCTACAAGATGTGAGCTACAATATAGCTTCTCTTTGGGTGTTGGATACTGTATCTTATCAAGAAGAGAAAAGTAACTAAGACAGAGAGAGAGACAAAGAGACAGACACAGAGAAAAAGAGTGACAAAGAGACAAAGAGAGAGAAGGAAAGAAGGAAGGAAGAGAGAGAAGATAAGGAGATAACAGAAATAGAAAAACAGAGGAAGATAAAGAGGGAAAGAATAAAAAGACAAAAAGAAGAAAAAAGATACAGCAGTCAAAATATTCTCACACAATTGCAAAAGCACAAAATCAAAGTGTCCTCTCAGTTCCACTTATATTGCAATCTGGTATCAATTATAAGTTTCCAATCTGATTCCCTGATTCTGTGGTTTGATTAATTGCCTTTCTGTGAGAAAGGTTTACAAAACTAGATGGATTTCTGTGCTTCCTGGCTGAAAAAATGCTCTAGATGTGGCTAATTGTAGATTTTATCTCTGTCCCAAGTCCTGACCACCTAGGTATTTGGAAGGGGAGTGATGTAATGTAATTGACTCAGCATCTGGTTCACTGTCAACTTCTACCAATTACCTGTCATTTCCCCACAAAGCAAATTCTATGGTCATATTTGTGTTTGCCATCCACTAGCATTTCACCTAGCATATGCCTGGCTACATTTTGATGCAGGCATCATCCTCAGTCTCTCTGCCTGTGGATTTTTTTTTTTGGTCACATCCTCAGATGTTCACTCTCTAATTAAACTTAAAGCCATAGGCTTTCCTGCCATCAGCAGGTTTTTCTTCCTCCAAGGGAATTGGGTGCTCATTTGTGGGGGTTTGCTATTAGGCATGGGCAACACACAGGATATCCTGTGAACACAATACTACAGGTATATGGAGAAGGAATGG